TCTCTCTCTCTCATAGAATATATATTCATTTTGACTTGGCCGATTCTTCAAACTTCAACAAAGACAAATATACATCAATCCAAACCTAATTAAAACCGGTCTTTGTTTTAGTAAGAGGAGAGAGAGAGAGAGAGAAAGAGGAGGTGTTTTCTCTCTCTAGTTTCTACTATTAGCTACAGAGATTACAAATTCCATGCCATGAATTGTTGGGCTGCTTTTCATTACAAGAGAGAATCTTTTCATCTTCTTCTTCTTCTTCTGGTAATGATTTTACTGTCAGAGAATCCATGTTTAATTGCAGCAGATGAAAGATTCAGCACACGTGTCAAACTAATCCATAGAAATGTATACAAAGGTATTCTACCAGAAGATGATGTTTTTGTTGCTGAGAAGAGAAGAGTATACACTGGTCCAAACCCTCTACACAACAGATGAGTAGCTTTATATATCTATATCTATATCTATATATATTATTTAGTAGTTGTAGCAGAAAAAAGAAAATAATAATAATTATTCTTGATTTTCTCATTCAAGAATGTCCTATATAATTTTTATTTTTAATGATTATTTTTTAGATTTTGATGCAGCTAATTTTGTATATGTTGTGAGATTTTTTTTTCAGCAGATAATGTTTTTTATTTTTTTATTTTATTTTTTGTTTGGTTGAAAAAAAAAAACAGAAACATAAATAAGAAGGCATAATTATATATATATTTGTTGTCTTTTTCTTCACATGTGTAGTGATGTACAGTGCAATAATTTGCAATAATCAATGCCTATTACAGTGGTTTGTTGGTAATATATGTAAATAGATACATACATATATATTATACATATGTGTGTATGTAATGTATGTATGTATAGCAGTTTCCTCTCAGAGATGGGATTTCACTTGGGAAAGGCTTCTCTACTCTTTCTTTCATTCACTCTATTTAGTTTCCAAATCAAGTGATAATAAAGTAATTTAAATTCCTTCCAAATAATTATGAAAATGAAATGGAATTTTGAAAAAAAAAACTATTTCCAAAATTAGAAATTTTCGATTCGAAATCGGCGGAATTCAAAAAATCTATTTTTATTCAGCTATGTTATTGAAAAATATAATAATTTTTATTATACATATAATCTTCGGCGAAAATAATCGGAAGTTTTTTAGTTATGTTATAAAATTAAAATCAGATCGAAAATCGAAATTTCATGTATATACCTCAGTGTATTAATTTTTGAATTTTCTATTCTAATGCAATATTATACATGACACGTGTCTGTATATGTATATGTATATAAAGTATAGATGAAAATGAAACTTGAGTATCTGAGTCGGTGTTCATGTTTCCCCCTAATGTTTACACATTGTAAGAAATTTCAGTGTCTTGTTTTCAAATATTTAGACCCACCACTTCATTTTAAATAATAAAATCTATCTTTTTACTTTTAATTTCGTGGTTTAATAATTGTTGTTATCAAGTAAAATTTTGTTGGTAAAAGAATAAGATTTCATCGACTGTAAATTAATGACGTATTGTGTAGGTCATGCTGCCATCATTTTATTGCCATTACTTTCATGATACAGTAGAATCTCGATGAATTTTCCGATCCCAACTCGGTAAAAACATATTAAATCGTTATTTCGATAATTTAATTTCACACATAAATTAATAGAATTTTACCACTATCGGCTGTATTAATTTTGAGACTTATTAGTTTGAAAAATATTGCATTATAAAATGTACTAAAATTGACATAGATGCCCAGTTTTTCCAATGGTGCCCTTTTTAAAATATTTATAGAAAAGTCCTTTTCCAGAAGGATTTTTATTAAATAGACCTAATCATCACTCACTTTGTTTATTTCTCCTTGCCATTTTTCAAACTTCCCCAATTCGCACGGCATTGATTCACAATAATGTAAAGAATCCCGTACAACATCGATAAATTAATAACCTACTTAAATAATAATATTTTCCGACCCCGATTAAGTAACAACATGCTAAATTGTTAATTCGCTAATTTAATATTTCGCCACATATGACTGGAAAATTCAGAAAAAAATTGCAGCTAAATGAAAATTGTCAACTGTGATGTATGCTATATATATATATATATATATATATATATATATATATATATATATATATATATATATATATATATAAATAACAAGAACTCACTGTGATTGAATTGACTCTACAAACAAGTTAAAAGACTCCTGAACAAAAGAGGGCCCCAGTGCATACAAAAAAAAAAAACTCAGTAAATGAAATCCAAACAGATCATTAAATAAGAGATTTTGATAGCTCAATTAAATCATTTTTTTTCAGACAGAAACTGACTATGAATCAGCACCAGACAATGTTAGTCAGTGACTTTACAAGAACATGTCTTAGTTTAAACAAGAATGCAGTAAATATGGATCAAAATGCAGTAAAAATGCTTTCATTTCAAGTCAGTTTTCCACTAGAGAGAGAGAGAGAGAGAGATGATATCAGTTACCTTCTTGACGAGAGGATTAACGTAATTAGTCTCCGCGAACCAGGAAAACCTTAAAGCTTAGAAGCATTAGCCAATCTCCGACTCAAGGCAATGGCAGCTTTAGAACCAGAAGACCGGCCCAAATGTTGACAAATATAATCTCCCGCCAAAACGAGTTTCATAAGATCGACATTTGTCTTAACGCCCAGACCATTAAGCATATAGACAACATCCTCGGTAGCAACGTTTCCGGAAGCACCTTTGGCATACGGGCAACCGCCAAGGCCGGATATAGAAGAGTCCACTACGCTTATACCCATCTGTAAGAAAAACCCGACTTGTTAACCTTAATTAATATAACTTTTCATAAGACAGCATAAATATACATAAAAATAATAAATAAAATTAGTTCTTAGGAACAACGACAGCTCACTTGGAGTGATAAGAGAATGTTCGAAAGGGCTTGCCCGTAAGTGTCGTGAAAATGTACTGCAAGCTTTTCTACGGGAACAACATCAAGAACGGCTTCGAGCATTGGAATTACAGTACCTGAAATAATAGTCAAAGCGGATAAGTCAAGATATGCAGATAAAGATCGATAAGTCAAGATTTGGAAATTACCGGGAGTGCCGACACCTATTGTGTCACCGAGCGAAATCTCGGCGCATCCCATATTAAAGAGCTCTTCGGCAACATATGCTACTTTGGATGGAGGCACTGCTCCTTCGACCGGACAACCCACAACGCATGATATATATCTGACAAAATTGAGCACCACCTTTTTTAAAACATGAAAAATAATTCGACTTGTTCCAAGAATTTAAAGATCAACTATTAATCGAATTAAGATATGTAAATTCTATTTTTGACCATGTATTCCTTGGATCTTTCATAGGGAAAAAGCGAAGTGGCCTTTGGTTCTCATTTCAATTACGGGTGTTGCACAAATCGGCTGGAAAGCTAGGTAAATTCAAGCAAGGGCATAATATGGAACTTGAAAAGTCTTCGACTGTAAGCATATAAAATCTTATTATAATCAAAAGTAAAGCGTGTGAGAAATTCAAAGAAGGCATATTACGGCATACCCGCGAACTGGAATTGCATGGTCTTTGGCAGCAAGGGCAACATCACGGTATCGAGCAAGACTATCTTCGATGCTGCAATTTAAATTTGATCGAGAAAAGGACTCTGAAGCAGCAGCAAAAACAGCCACTTCTTTTGCTCCAGCTTCAACAGCTGCCTCAAAACCCTGGAACAAAACCATAAAGGATTACAAAAATATCCCTAACAAAATTCTTACGATGGGTGTTGAATGGTAATGTCGATGTCGAAAACGGTATCTTACTTTGAGATTTGGAGTCAAAACTGGGAATCTTGAATGCCCAATGCCCTGAATGGCTGACATTACGTCTTTCGCATCAGCTAACTGCAGTTGTATTTAATATAATCAATAAACTGAATATAATACTCCGATAGACCAGAGGGTAACTAGCAACTGTGATGACTTTCGTGGAGTTACAAAGCCACAAAACTGAGAGAAAGACGAAAAGAAAAAAGGCACATGCAAAATCCAAGAAGACCAAACGAAAAAAACGAGGACATGTGGTAAAACAAAATAAATAGAGGCATCTTAAAATGAGAAGAAAATAAACGGTGTCGGAAAATTGCTAATTTCATATCGGACTGATGAAAGATCATTTTTACCTGGGGCACCCATTTTGGTGAGACGAAACTAGTAGCTTCAACAACAGGCAAACCAGAAGAAGCAAGCATCTTTATTAACTCCACCTTCACAGCTGTCGGCACAATCTCCTTCTCGTTTTGCAGTCCATCTCTCGGACCAACTTCCACTATCTTCACATAGTTAGGAATAGAACCCAACAACTACATGATCAAAACAAAAATCAATCACAACTACATTATCTCATTAAGAAACAGAATACCAAAACTATGCACAATTGATTAATTCAAACGGTGGGATTCCTTTGCAATTCGCTTTTTGGTTAAACAAATAATCCAGGGGTAAATTGAAGGCAAGTATGTAAATTTTATAGAAACAAGAACGCATGAAACTTTTTCTCGTAAAATTTTGTTTCTTACGTTTCCGGAAGCGGTCGTAAACAGCAAGATTACCTTATGTTCTGCATTTTTTGTATGATGCTGGGAGCTGTAATGGCGGTTTAGCATTCGAGCAACACCGAATCCAACTAATCGAGGCTCTCGATTGAATAAATAACCGTAAGGCGTCGTCTTTGATTCTTTGTTTAATAGAGATGCTTCTTTTCCACTACCCTTGCCACAACAGTAAACATTCTAATCATTTCATTAGAACAACATTTAAACATAATTGCAATAAGTAATTTAATTCCACTTGAGCAAGATAAGATCATCAACAAAATCACAACAGATCCAATCATACGTTCAACATAACCTTTCTCCATAATTTTTGCATAATTAAGTATTAAACATATATTTGCTAAACGGATAAATAATCGGGTAAATCGAATTCTTCAAAGTAGAATGAAATAAAATTAAACGCAGGCCGATTAAATTCGAGTTACTTTAAATGTTTGGGGAAACTCCGATCGTCTCCTCCGTTGATCGTAATTGTACGCTCCATTTCATTCGCAATCGGAAACGAAGAAAAGTATTTTCTGGTGCCGACGGACCTCAATTTCGACAACTTGTTTACAAACTCTGGTAATAACATCGAATTAGCTGCAGAGGAGAAAAAAATCCGTAAGGAAAAAAAGTAGAAGATGAACAACGGTATCAAATTTACTTCAAACCATTAGATATATATACATACATACATTGGGGAAGAAATTATTGAGGAAATCGAAAGAGGGGAGGCGACTGTGCGACCAAAGGAAGACGACGAGACACGTGGAGGGAGGCCAAGGGTATTTCGAGAAATTGGAGAAATCTGGAGGGCGTTTATGTAAAATGAGTAGATGGAAAGGGGGAGAAGAACAAAATTTGATTTATTAATGACTAATGCTGAGTCATCATACTATTTGAGATTATTATCTAGACTTTATAAGTTGTAAACATATATAAATTATACTAGACTAATCTTGTTGAAAAGAATCACCTAACGATCGTTGTTAAAGGAATCGAAACGGGATTCGAACCTGTGTCAATTGACACTGGTAAAGGAAATCGAACGGGATTCGAACATGTGACAATTGACATATTTTCACTTGCTCCAATCACTAGGTTATCCTCTAAAGTGTATTTTTTACGTAGAAACGCCTCATTTCTCCAAATTGAAGAAGATTGTCGAATGAGTATTTTGGTTCTCGAGTATTCATTAGAGGTTCGAAAATATATCGATGTGATTCAAGTAATTTATTGTTGACCACATCAAGTTGTATATAAATATATTAAGAATATATCTCTTAATCGACCATGAGGCCAAACTGCACATACTTCAAAATGCAATTTTTAACATATAATATAAGAAACTATTTTTTGGTTTCCATAAAAAAATTCATAGACTCATTTGTTATTGTATAGACTTGCAATTTATTTTTACATTTGCAGAATTTTTTTATTTAAAAATTCAGATAATATATTTCAAATGGAAGGTTGGGGTGGGATTAGAAATTCATAATCTTGGCTCTAATAAGCCAAGACTACTTATACAACTCCGATTTACATGAATAGATTTTACAGGAAGATGTAAATTCTGAAACAAATTATTACACTATAGTGTTGTACTTAATATATCTTTTACCATTTACTAACACACACAACAACAATTCAAGAACAGAGTATATATCTCAAAAATACGGTATCTAAAGAGAGGAGAAAATCGGAACACCAGGTAAAGTAGCTCCAGCTTCGACAACATAAACATTTCCAGACACATATTCGGAAGATTCATGGATCAAATAACGCACAAGTGATGTCAATGCTGGATCTGATTCACCGTACGTTCTTAAAGGGACTGTCTTCGTGGCAACATTTTTGAGCCAATCTTTTTCCATGAGATTCTCTGTTATCTCCGATTTAAAAAGCCCCGGGGATATAGAGTTCACTCTTATTCCGTACACCCCTAATTCGATCGCCATCATCTGTATGTAATGTAGTTTGTCAAGAGATGGAGTAGAAGTTTGATATATGTGACAGATTTCAGTAAAGATCTTGATGGCAAAACAGTAAATAGTGACAACAAAATTAGATATCCAAACTCTAATGCAAGAACACTGGCATGATTCGAGTTTCTTTGGATTTTCTTAGAATAAATTAAGGGTATATTACAACCACCCCCTGAGGTATGGTCAAATTACAAAAAAAAAAAAAAAAAAAAAAACCCTCTTGTTTGGATAATTACAACCACCCATCAATTATAAATCTTCTTACACGTCCACCCTTGCGGTTCCAAATTTAGAGGAATCTTCTAGATTATATGGAATATTCTCAATTTTGTACCCATTCTATCCCATTTGAACTCCACATTTTGAAGCAAAATGATCATAAGATGTGTTTTTTGGCTTGTATATATCAGATTGTGAACGAGTACAAACTACAGAACATTTCGCGGAATCTAAATGATTATGTTGAATTTGACACCATAAGGCTGGAGGTGTAAGAAAATTCATAGTTGAAGGGTAGATGTAATTATTCAAACAAGAGAGGGTTTTTCGCAATTTGATCGTACATCAAGATAATATTTCATTCGGAAGATCCATAGTAAGTCATTAACTTCTGAGTTGAACATCCGATTTTTAGTGGAAGTAGTAATATGGGAAGTGCTCTTACGACTTAATCATGCAGAAATATTTAAAATCAAAAAATTAATCAATGGTTCAAACAGGGCACATATTAAGAGTGTGTCATCGGAATTACCTTTGTCATGGTATTAACGGCAGTCTTTGAAGCAGCATAAGCGAGACTTCCAGGTAGTTGCCCACGATTAAGACCTGCAATCGAGGATATATTTACGACAGAGCCACCTTGCTTCGCATCACGCATATGACTGCAGACGTATTTCGAGACCAACCAGGCGCCAGTCTGGTTTGTCCTAACAATCTCGTTCCACTCATCTTCCCTCAAATTCAACGGTGTATGCACACTGCCTGTAAGAAACTCTTCAAAAAATCAGGATACATACAAAGCAAACGCCTCTAACTACAAGCCCGTTTTCATTAGACATTACCAATAAAAGCCAGAAAAAAAAGAAAAGTCCCGAGAAATTACGGATCTATATTCAAAACCAAATCATTGGAAAACGAGCAAAATATCATTTCGAGAAAAGGTTGCACGAACGTAAAACATAACGGAAGATCTTACCAAAGACATTCGAGCACTACTAACTTAGAAACTACAAACCAACAACAACTTGATAATTGAATGTAATTATCCGAAAAAAGTGAACATGTTAACTCTAATCAGTTAATCTCAGGGATTATATTAGTGGATCAATCCAATTTTCACCAGGATTAATGACAACCAAATTGGATGATGTTGGAATAAGCTAGGGTTCCAAATAATTATAATTGTATTAACAATGATAAACCCCCAAAAAAATTGGCAGCAGAATTCACTATATCTGAATATCAATTAGGGTTTATCTAACTAAGTAATTATCATCTAAAAACTGCTCGTACACATAAATTAAACTGAAATATAATAATTAGGGTTTACCTCTGACGCCAGCATTGTTGATCAAAGCATCGATTCTTCCAAAGGCGTCCCAAGCTTTCTGCACAGAAGCCTCAATTGTGGCTCCACCGGCGCTGACGTCAAGCTCAACAGCCACTGCTCTGGGTTGAACTCGGCTCGGCTCGTTGGACCTCGTTGAGCCTGCGGCGCCGTTGTTAATCTCGTCGCAGAGTGATTGCAAGCGGTCGATTCGCCGAGCGGCGGCTATGATCCTGCAGCCGGCTTTGGCTAAGTCCAAGCAGAAGTCGCGGCCCAGTCCGGATGACGCGCCGGTCACCATCACGACTTTGTTTCTCAGCTCAAGCCACGGCTCCAAGCTGCTGGACACGTGATTTCTACTCTCCGTCATCTCTGTTCGTGTTGTGTGTGTGTGAGACAGTGTGAGAGAGAGAAGAGATAGACGGTGGGTGATTATTTGAAGTTTGAATTATTTAATATTTCTTCTCAAAAATAGAGAAAGAAATGTTTAAAACATTTATAAATTGCCTCGTCGCTTTCGAATACATAATTGGTGGCTGATTATTTGAAGTTTGAATTATTTAATATTTCTTCTCAAAAATAGAGAAAGAAATGTTTAAAACATTTATAAATTGCCTCGTCGCTTTCGAATACATAATTGGTGGCTGATTATTTGAAGTTTGAATTATTTAATATTTCTTCTCAAAAATAGAAAAAGAAATCTTTTAACATTTATATATGCATATAAACTCCCTCGTGGCTTTCGAATACATAATTGGGAAAATAGCATTTTGGCACCTGTATTTTGCTCTATTTGTGCATTGCATTGCCACCTTAATATAAATAAGTGTAAATTCCACTTTCCCCTTTGTAATTTGGTTCGATATTACTTTACCCCATTCTACTCTCAATTGCATTAATTTGCCCCTTGTACTTTGGCTTGATATCACTTTACCCCCTTCTACTCTCAATTGCATCGATTTTCGCCCTTGTACTTTGACTCGATGTCACTTAACCCTCTTCTACTCTCAATTGCATCGATTAGCCCCTTGAACTTTGACTCGATGTCACTTTACCCCTTCTACTTTCAATTGCCTCGATTTGCCCACATTTACTTGCAAAATTGTCTCAATGTGACCCTCATCGTTAGTTTTCAGATCTTTGACATTAACACCGTTTGATCTAAGTCTGAAAATTACTAAAAGGTCACCCCTCCTAGTTTAAAAATTAAAAAACAAAAAATAAAATAATAAAAAATTCAATACAACGAGAAAACATAGGCACGACACCAGCCGCAATTTTTTTTTATTTTTAATAATTATTTAAATTGGGAGGGGTGGCTTTTTTATAATTTTCAAACTTAGATCAAACGGTGTAAAAGGTCAAAGGTGTGAAAACTAACGGCAAGGGCCACAATGAGAAAAAAATTCAAGTACAGGGGGGCAAATCGATGCAATTGAGAGTAGAAGGGGATAAAGTGATATCGAACCAAAGTATAAGGGGCTAATCGATGCAATTGAGAGTAGAATGGGATAAAGTGATATCGAGCCAAAATACAAGGGGGAAATGGAATTTACCCTAAAAAAAATGTTCGGGCGCGCCCAAACTTATTAATTTGAGACACTTATCAACCTCTATCTAATTTTCAGATGATTATTTCAATTTTCGGCAGACCTGCGAGGCACTCATTATTTGGACAGTTGTTTCCTCCGATTCAAAATATCAGAGTTGAAATGGAGAGAATTGAGTCTTTGGAGAAGCTTTTCTCCTCTTGCCCACTCTTTAATCCGATTAATTTCTTCCCAAATTGGATATGCCGCTATAAATTTCTCCAAAGGTAATTTTCATGAATATTTTTTAATTAATTATATAATTTATTTTGAGTTGAAAAGATGAAAAAACTCATGGACCTATCCATGTACCTCGCGCATGCGCTAGAATATTTCAATATTCGCGTGAAATTAGACTTATGTGGTTAAATGGCTCGAAACAACAAGTTTGGACGTGTTTGTTCAATTTTTTAATGTTAAGGTGGTAGTGTGAAAATGAGGTAAAATACAGGTGCCAAAATGCCATTTAGCCTATATATAATATAATAAGTGGAAATATGTAATACCCCTCAAATGGAAAATATTTTGAACTAAACACAATTGACTTTTAGAGACTTTTGCCTACACCCAGGTTTCATTCTTAATTAGTGAGACCCCCTAATCAGTCATAATAAGACTAAAGTGCCCTTATGTGATTAGGTTTTTTAACGTGATACAATTTTATTTTGCTCTTTCTCTCTCTCTCTCTCTCTCTCTCTCTCTCTCTCTCTCTCTCTCTCTCTCTCTCTCTCTCTCTCTCTCTCTCTCTAGTTCTCAATTTGACGTCTTCCTCCTCTTTTTTTTTTCTTCTTCTTCTGCAGATCTGTATACCCGCCGGCGCACTCCATCTTTTTCACACCACCGCCGTAATCCGCTCACCATAGTCACCGTTGTTCGTGCACTCGTCACCGTCGGAGCCAACAATACCTTTCAACCGCCGGTCCGTCGAAACCTAATGCAGGAGGCCCTTCTCCGTACAAGTGGTGGCGGCGGTGCATCCCCCACCTTGTCGCCGCCCTTCGTCGGATGGGTTACATGGAGATTTCCCTTTTTCGTTCTCTCTCGATTTCTCAAATTTTTATGTTTTTTCAGATTTGTTCACCATCGCCACCGTAGCCACGTCCCCACTCTCTTTTTCATTCACCGTCGTTGTCGTCGCCTCCCCCTCCATTCCTTTCGTTATTTCGATTTTTTTCTTTTTTTTTTTCTCTCCAGATCTGAAACAGCAGCATCAACGTGACTACTCTGATTCGAATATGACTATTGTTGATTAACTCGATTAATGATGTAATATTTTCTCGTGTTCGTTGCCTCTCTCGATTTCTCTCTCTTTACACCACCATCGTCTCCACATAGATTTGTACACCACCATTACCGTCGCTGCTCATTGCCGTTCGTTTCCACGTAAGGCTCTTTCTCTCATTTTCATTATCTTTCTCGATTTCTCAGTTTTTTTTTTTTTTTTTTTTCCAGATTTGTCCATCGCCACCGCCGCCGTTATCGTCGACTCCCCATGCCTCTCTTTCGTTATTTTTCTATCTTTATTTATGTATTTATCGATTTTTTTTTCCCCTTTTTTTTGTGTTTTTGTTTTTCAGATCTGAACAGCAGCAACAATATGACTATAGTCACATTCGAATATGACTATAGTCATATTTATGTATTTTTCGAATATGATTGTAGACTATTGTTGAATATGACTGTAATCATATTCGAATATGTTCTATCTTCCCGTTTTTAAGTTGACTTCTAATAACTAGATTCAAAATTATAATTTTTTTTGTGTGGATTTTGATTGGATTGTTTTCGTAAACAATAGGGAATATTCGTTGTTTTATATAATTTGCTAAACATGACTATACCACACTATATAATCGGAATTTTTAAGTTGAAAATGTAAAAAATTGTAATATAATGAAAGAATATGTCTACATAGTCACATATAGTCGTATTCAACTATAGTCATATTCGGAGTTGTAAACCTGTCGAGAAAAAAAAAACGATTTTTTGTTTAAAAAATAAAATTAAAAACTATTTTTATTAAATAAATATTAAAAAATAAAAATAAATAAATAAATGGATAAATAATCCGAAAATAATAAAAAATAAAAAAATAAAAAAATCATATTTTTTTGATGGGTCTATTAGATATAACCCCCTTAAACGTTCAAATAATAGGGGTAGACCCAAATTTATATTTGCCATTTTGATAACAGCCCAAACTTTTCCTAATTACATAATTACCCTCAATCAAATCCCACAAAACCCATTACTTTACCTTTTGAAATAAAATCAAATCCCTTCCTATTTTCCCGTTAAATCAATATCATCCCAAACCCACTATCGAATAAACTGCAAAACCTCCCAGAACAACTTCCCAGGGGAAGACGTCTGCACTGCCGTGAAACGACGATTTTCGTGCACTCCGAGCAAGCTGCCGTAGGTACGTCGTCGCCACTCGCTGAATCACTATCATCCATCGATTTGTTGATATATTTTGGCTAAATCGACTATCACGTTTGTGTAATTGCAGATCTGTTATAATCGCATACCGAATTCGAGCACTAAATCAGTGATATTGCAATAATTGATGGGCAGGACTTCCACCAGAAGTGATATCGTCGTTGGCCGCCGCCGTCGCCGTCACTGCTCCAATCTAGGGTTACTCAAATCTAGGATTACTCAAATCTAGGGTTTTGATAATTCTTCGGCCCATAGTTGATTAACGAGATGCATAGTCGAATTACATCTGTATTAATATACTATCCCATATCATTTAATAGACTATCCCACTGGTATAATTTTACTATGGATCTCGTTAATCGACTATGGGCCGAAGAATTATCAAAAACCTAGATTTTAGAAGTGACGGCGGCGGATTTGTGTTTTAAAATTAATAGACTATCTCATATCTTTTAATAGACTATCCCATGTATCTAATTCGACTATAGGTTTAGTTAATTGACTATTGGAAAAATAATAATATATATGGAAACTGAATAATATGTTTGTTTGAAATACTAATCAATTAGGGTAGTTTTCCTTATTATATGAAAACGATTAGGGTAAATAATAATATATATGAAAAAATAATAATATATATGGAAACTGAATAATATGTTTGTTTGAAATACTAATCAATTAGGGTAATTTTCCTTATATCATGTAATAGACTATCTTATTGATCTAGTTCGACTATGGATCTCGTTAATCGACTATGGATCCCGTATTATTCAACCACATAGTATATTAATAATTTCAATATAGTACATTGATCTGCTATGATAGTATATTACAGTTATAGTAGTGATATGAATTGTGTTACAAACAATATACCACTGAAATGACAAGAACATTGAGAACAACACCAACGTAAAGTATTCCAACATAACCAATAAAATAGTACATTAATAATCTCATAATTTCAATCTAGGGCTTTGATAAAATACATAAAACACATCATAACACAATCAAACCAGTATGTCGAGTTAAAAAACTCTAGTACATTAATAATCTCAAAATAGTATAATAAAATGATAATGGTAGTATCATACGGTATTCATAATAGTATACTACTGTATTACAACGGTTTAAAACTTAACCGAAGTTACTGAGCCATTACATCGTAAACACCTCTTTATAGCAACCAACCCACCAAACCTCAACAAAATCCGTACGAAATTCGCCATCGAAAAAACCTAAAATCATGAAACAAAATTAAAAATGCAGAATACTAAAAAATGATTAAATAGACTGCAAATACATTTGAATGACAATACATTAATATCATCAAAAATAAACTTAAAATGCAAAATCCATACGCTAATTTAAAAAAGACTACGAACTATATTTTAATGTACTACCCAACACACTTAAATCGGATGTTAT